CAGCTTTGAATCAGCTAAAGTAAAATTAAGGTGAGAGAAATATCTCAAGTATTAAAATGGTTAATTTCAAGAAGATGTAACACAACTGTAAATGTAAATTAAGTCCCGTCTTATTCACATGGCAATCAGTATCTCGCAAATTTTCCGGATTGAACCATGCATTGGCTTGACCGAATTTATTAACCCAATATTAGAAGTAGAATAGTAAATTTCAATTTTACTCCATTTTAAACGACATTTTTTCAAGCACAATTTGCAAGTTTGAGAACAGTTATTCGTTTATATTGACAAATATTTGTTTCCAATTCTTCAGAAATTATGCATGTACCATTCCAAGAGCATTTAGTGTACGTTATAACCCATATACACAGAATGTTGATGTCATCAATAATAAACAACAAATTGTCAACCTTACCAAAGTAATCAAGGGTACGTCAAGCACTTTGTTGAACCTTTTCAAAATCATACAAATAGTTGTATGATCAGATCACAGCTTTTTTTTACCTGCATCATTAAGAGGAAAAAGCAAATGCTCAGGTTGTCTGTAAACAAATTATATGTACGGATGGAATTTACGAAAATCTAAGTCATGAGGTGCATGATTTTGGCATTTTCACTTTATGCTATCATTGGATATTTCTACGCGGCAGAATGTCAATAATAGTTTTTTTTATATATTTTAGGTGATATAGACTTGTTGGAGGAAGCTCTCGTGAAGTGTAGAAATATTCCTGCACATTGAAGTTCACCATAACTGGTTTGGACAAAGTATAAATAAAAGGGTTTTAAATGTTAATATTTGGTATTTTATTATTACTTCATATATAAATTGTATTAGATAAAATGGTTCCATTAAGATTTATCATTTTTATACGCCCACATGAATATGTGGTCGTATATTGTCGTCGGTCCGTCCGTCAACATTTCTTGTGAGCAGTATAGAGACTACAGTTTTTATCTGATTTTGATAAAACTTGGTGTAATGCTTTAGATTGATAAGATCTCGGTCAAGTTCGAATTTGACATATTTTCGATGAACGGTTTTTGAGTTATTGCCCTTGACTTTGTTAAAACGTGTTGAAATTTGTTAAAAATAGTTTTTGAGCAGGATTGAAGCTACAGTTTTCAACCGATTCTGATGAAACTTGGTGTGATCATTGGAATTGATAAGATCTCGGACAAGTTCTAACTTGACGCATTTTCGATGAACGGTTTTTGAGTTATTGCCCTTGACTTTGTAAAAACACGTCAAAATTTGTTAAAAATAGTTTGTGAGCAGGATTGAAGCTACAGTTTTCAACCGATTCTGATGAAAATTGGTGTGATCATTGGAATTGATAAGATCTCAGACAAGTTCTAACTTGACGCATTTTCGATGAACGGTTTTTGAGTTATTGCCCTTGACTTTGTTAAAACGTGTTGAAATTTGTTAAAAATAGTTTGTGAGCAGGATTGACGCTAAAGTTTTCAAACGATTCTGATGAAACTTGGTGTGATCATAAGATCTCGGACAAGTTCTAATTTGACGCATTTTCAATGAACCGTTTTTAGTTATTGCCCTTGACTTTGTTAAAATGCGTCGAAATTTGTTAAAAATAGTTTGTGAGCAGGATTGACGCTACAGTTTTCAACCGATTCCGAAGTTCTAACAAGAGATATTTTTGATGAACATTTTTTGAGTTATTGCCCTTGACTTTGTAAACACGCGTCAAAAGTTGTTTTTTGCCCTTGATTAGAGCTGTGTGATTTAATTGTTTGTTGTATTTGGGTTATTGATATTGATCTTAAAAAATTTTGTGGAATTATTCAGCATAAGTAGTTTCTTCAATATGAGAAAATTCGTACTTTAGTCACTAAAGACTGTTTTATCATTTCTGACAGCTGCCAGTGGGCGTATGTTACCTTGCATCGCAAGCTATCTTACCATAATTCTATCGTTTTAGTTACATTAAGCTCTCCGTCATCATGAATCTTATAATGTAGACTCCTGTTAGACAAATGAAATCTGAAAGACTAAGCGCAACGTTTATGTAAGCTTATTGGGACTTTCCTATTGAACGTATATTGAGCCTCATACGACGCATACGACCAGTTGAAACGTGGATCCTAAATTTTCTCGTCTACTCGTCAATTTCTGAAATTATCTATAAGAGGTGAGTTATGAATCATCAAGAATTGAATTGGTACTGTAGTGGGCATGGGAAATAAAATAAAATATAGATGTTTTAGAAATTTCGACTTACAAAAAAAGCGAAATGTCCCATTAACAGAAGGAAACGTAAGCCTGTATCTTGCATTTTTATGTGGACGTATATTGTCGACACCCCTGTCCGTCCGTCGTCCGTCGGTCCGTCAACATTTGCTTGTAATCGCTCTAAAAACTAGATTTTTTGATGGAATCAATGAAATTCGGTATGTGTATACATATTCATAAAACGAAGATCAAGTTCGAATTTGAGCTATTTTCGACCGTTAGAAGCAGAGTTATTGCCCTTGCCCCAAAATCTTGAATATGCTATCACTCTGTTAGTTTTCAACCGATTTTGATGAAACTTAAAATGGATGTTATTGGACCTAAATCGAAAGGTTTGAAAAAGTTTAGTTAACTTCTGATTAAATTTAAGCCTTTTTCAAGATTTAGGCCTCTTACGTCAGTTTTGTGGAGTTATCGCCCTTTAACCTCTATACAGTAAGTGCTTCTATCAACATCAATTGCTCATAAACACTCTAAAAGCTAGAGTGTTTGAAGGAATCAAATGAAATTCGGTATGTGTATACATATTCATAAAACGAAGATCAAGTTCGAATTTGAGCTATTTTCGACCGTTGAAATCTTGAATATGCTATTACTCTCTTAGTTTTCAACCGATTTTGATGAAACTTAAAATGAATGTTTCGTGAAGGGCGTGTATGTCCACTATCTTACAAGTAAGCATTGTTATCCACCATTCAGATAATAACGCCACGATTGGATTTCTCATTTAAACCTAAAAAACTGACACCCTCTTTTAATTAATCAATCCCAAATCCGGATCAAAACAGCACAAATATTAATCTCTTGATATCAACTTGTGTTGTGGCTTAAATGTCATGCCTTGCACACACTTAATTATGTGTTCTATTGACAATATTCATATTTTCATCGATTGAATAACTGTTTTAATATGTTTATATTGTAGTGTTAAAAAATGTCTGCGTTAATTTAAAATGTATGCTAGACAGAATATTCTAGCTATATTTAACAGATCAATATTGATTGGGATTCCTTCTCATCAATTAGCATTCGACATCATTAATCTACAACTCCTTAACAGTTAATCCTTTCGGTTATGAGAACGTCAATAGCGAACAAATACCTAACAAGAAAATCATTAAAGATGAGTTTCGTTATTTTGTATACGCCCACATGGAAATGTGGGCATATATTGCCGTCGCCTCAGTCCGTCCGTTCACATTTCTTACTACATTTGAGGCTACATTTTTATCCTATCTTCATGAAACTTGGTATGCATGTATGTATTGATGAGATCTCAGTCGTGTTCGAAATTAGTGATAATCGGATGAACGTTTTCAGAGTTATTGCCCTTGACTTGTTAAAACGCGTCAAATTAGGCTTGTAGGCACGATAGACTACAGTTTTTATCTGACCTTGATGAAACTTGGTACGCATGTATGTATTGATGAGATCTCAGTCAAGTTCGAAATTAGTAATCGGATGGACGGTTTCAGAGTTATTGCCGTTGACGAAGTAAAAACGCGTCAAATTTGGCTCATAGGCACGATAGACTTATCTGATCTTGATGAAACTTGGTATGCATGTAGGCCTATATATTGATGAGATCTCGGTCAAGTTCGAAATTGGTAATAATTCGATTACGGGTTTCAGAGTTATTGCCCTTGACTTGATAAAAACGGCTTACAGGCACAAAAGAGACTACAGTTTTTATCTCATCTTGATGAAACTTCGTATGCATGTATATATTGATGAGATCTCATTCAAGTTTGAAATTCGTAATAATCGGATGACTGGTTTCGGAGTTATTGCACTTGACTTAGTAAAAACGTGTCAAATTCGATGGTAGGCACGATAGAGACTACATTTTTTATCCAACCTAGATGAAACTAGGTATGCATGTATATGTTGATGAGATTCTTAATTGGTAACAGTCGGATGAAGGGTTTCATAGTCTTGACTTAGTAAAACTTGTCAAATTCGGCCTGCAGGCATGACAGAGACTACAGTTTTTAACAAATCTTGATGAAACTATATGCATGTATGTATTGATGGGATCTCAGTCAAGTTCGAAATTAGTAATCATTGGAGGAACCGTTATTTCCCTTGTGTGTGAACAGCGAGGAGAATTTGTTCGAATTTGATGATAATTTTATAAACTGTTTCTGAACACACACCAGATTTCGTCATTAAGAATTGTACCTTCTAGAGTGTTTACGATCTAAACTTTGAACGCGTTTTCAAGAACAAGGGCAATAACTCATACTATATATTTCTCGATTTTCAGTAGGGTCCATCCTTGAAAGATAACAAACACTCACACTAAGTTTCATTAAAATCAGTCGAGAATTTTGCTTTCTAGAGTGTTTACATGCAAAAATTGAACTCGTTTTCACAACAAGGGCAGTAACTCATACTAAATATTTATCGATTTTTCTGATTTTCAATAGGGTTCATCCTTGGGTGATTAAAAACAATCATACCAAGTTTCGTCGAAATCGACAATCTTGTAGAGTGGTTACGAGCAATTGTGGATGGACGGACCAACGGATGAATCAACCGACGCACGGACATGAGTGGTGCTAATAAATTTCATGTGGATAGGACGTAATATAAAACAGATGTGTGAATTTGTACTGATTGGATCGTCACGCAATGATGTTAATATGTAGGGTGGCTTGATGAATTAACCAATAAGAAGCCATTTAGCAATTAGGTCATTGTTTCCATCTAATTTCTGGTAAACAAACCACAAACCGAAAACAAAATGGATGCAGGTATCTGTAAAAAGGCAAAAGTTGATGATGGATTGCAAGTAAGTAATGGCAACTCACTATACGCATCTTGAATTCACTACCATTTTGTTTACTGTCATATTGGTTACATGATATACATTCTTTCCAATGCCATGTGTTAATTATAGATGTAGAGTACAGTATGTTACGATCGATCGATTTCATCACCGCACTATTTAATAAGGCTACACACCAATAATGTCAACAGGAGAAATTTGTTGTGCAGCGTTTCTATCATAGAATATGTTGAATGCTTAACATGTCCAGGTACATACCTGGCCTACAACAGCAGTAACCATTGCATGGATTAGTCCTGATATTGGATTGATATGCGATATAATTTTATATATCTTGCCATGTTACAAACTTAACATATGTGATCTAAACTGAAATCTAAAAATCTGAAAAGTCGTCAAGGTAGAAAAAAAATTACATTGAAGTCGTCTAAGTAGATTTTAAAAAACTGAGATGTTGTCCAATACATGTGTATGTTAAAATATTTACATTTCTAATATCACCTTTTCTTTAAACCAGTTACACCAGCTGGCGTTTAATATTCGATAACCTGTAGTTTGCCATGTCATAATACTGCATATTAATTTATCTCTAAACAAAACAAGGACTCGTTGTTGTTTCTTAAAAAATTGTGGAAAATAAAAATAACCGCTTATATAAAATAATGAAGTTGTAATCATAAAATATCCAAATTTTAATATAAATTAAACGTGGTCTCAACAGCATTATTTGAGGCAAAACGCATTTTACCTTGCCTCAAACAGACATGAATGGCATATCATTTAGTTTGTCACGTGATGAATTGCATTTACACACCAATAATGCTGTTTAGATCAGCTCTTAAATGGTTAAATACAATATTTTCCATTTAGAAATACTGTATCAGGGATTGCAGACACCAAATTTAAGCATTTACAGGCCACATCTTTTAAATCAAAATTTAAGTGTTTGTAATCTCAATTTCTGAACCTCCAAAACGAAAATAGATTAAACTCTATCTCTTAATTGCGACAGATTGGTCCAATTCAAGAACACACATGTTGTGAATCGTTGATTGAAATTTAACTGACCTAACCAAGCCATTACAATTGACCATGAGAAAGGGTTTTTGTCCGTTAATAAAACCGAAATCCGGAACAGAGATACAAAATAATTTCTCAGATAATACGACAGCGATAAGAGATCAGTTCTTGGAATAACAGATAACACCACTTTATTATGTGAAAGCCGCCTCGACTTTGTCAACCGAATCAACATATTTCATCAAATCGTCTACGTACATGCTTTTCTTAACAGTTGAAATTAATTCACTATTCCGTCATTTCGATTTGATTCAGCACAATGTTTGATACATATTTTATTTTACTCTTGGAGAGGATATGGTCTTCAAATATAGTATGTTTAAGCATTCTATACTCTTCAATGGGTCCGTTTAAATCATGATCTTTAAACCATAGAAAACAGAAACGTTGCAATCAGCCATTATGACACACTCATGCAAAGACCGCTTTCACCTTTTCGGGTTTAAGCGAATGGAAAACGGAATGGTGGGACGGATACCACACTTTATACTTTAAATTTAAATCGGGTTTCAGTTTGACCCTTTTTCTAAATAGTCTTATATACCAATTTTGTATTTTTCATATAGACCGGTACGTCGAATAAACCGTTTCTTCAGACTGTTTAGTCTACCCATGACAACTGGTTTGGTGCATGATCAGTTACGCCGTTGTTGACCTCTTCACCAACATGCCAAAGAAGAATCCTTAGCAACCCCAGCACAGTATCAAACATAATATTATCAACACCAAACTCCCAACAGATAGTTTCATACCAGGTCCTAAAAGACACCAAACCCCAACAGAATAACCTCAGCACAGCAGAACGCCGAGTCATAAAAGAACTTTGCGACGACAACACCATCTCCCACCCATCCCATACTGCCCAGTACATTCATGCTGGTTCCAACCATCCCGCCTAAACCAAAGCAAGCATCATTTCCACCTTTACCATAAGAGCCAACTCCATTTGCAGTCAAGAACACCTCGCAGATGAAATCAACCACCTCAAAGCATTCTTTACCACCACCAACCAATACTCTCACCACCTCATCGATAACATCATCAGCAGGACCATCAATAATACTGAAACTCAAACCCCAAAGAATCGTCCATCATAATCCATATTTAACAGCTATAAGTTCATTTTCCCTACCATATCCACACTCCAATGAGATGTTTGGGTTTTGCTTGACTCCAATCAGAAGAGTCACTTACTTCAGACTCCCAACAAATCGCCAATAGAAATGTTCCGAAAGTGATAACAAGGCTTCAAATCTCCTGAATTACAGTTTTGAATATTGGCAAATCCTTGCTTCTAACTATTTCGCAGTCCCAAAGAAACACGCAGGTTTTAATAAAGACCCTGTCATATATTTTCATTTTACAAGGAACCCCTTAACAAATTCTTTTCTCGCGAGCCCCAGTTGCAACAGTTGGAGAAGGGCGATTTGTAGAAACATATATATCATTCTTTCTAAACAAATAAAAGTCAGCTTCATGTAATAGCGTATAATATTATGATTCCTATCACGTCTATTCCGCATTTAAAGTTTCGTTTACAGGTTTTAGAGGAGTATCCATAATTTAAACATTTTAAACACAATCAGCTTTCATTTGCAAACTTACCACGATCCTGAGACGAAAGGTTAGAAAATGAATTACACTTCCAAACAAAATGCAACTCTACAATAGTCACATTTCCAAATTAAAGTTAGATTGTCTCCTTTACTATATTACCTATTTTGGTTTTTACTTTACGCAGTCACCAACGTTGATGCAGGTCTTAGAGTAGTAACAGTCTTAGTCTTTGGCCTGATCGAATGTTTACCAGCACTATGTGCATTGAATTTCTCGTCGAATTTAGCATGTACTTTTAAAATTACGAAAACGTCATTGAATTTTGGTTTCGTATCACTCTGGATCTTATGACCAGCTCGTTCAATCCACTTACCCTTTAGAAACGTAGATAATTTGAGTGAAAATTCAATCAAGGTCTTCGAATGATTCAAATCAGACAAATAATCCGAACCCATTCCTACAAGAAGTCTCTAAATTCCGCTCAAATTCCAATAATTTAGTACCATCAGCCACTTAAACATCAGGCACATTTCGTAATTTCTGAGTAGTAATTTCATGTGGAGATCCAAAAAGCTCTCTCAAAGTTTCTTAAGTCGTACAATGCGCTTCATTAGGTGGTAAACTCGCACAACTTTTGTTGTATTATTGTAATATTGTAGAATCGCCCAGAGCTTGACCTTCAAGGCACGATACGATATTATGTAAACAAGAGGAATAATTCAAAAGATTTCTGTTGAACGTTTAATATTCCAATTTAGAAGTCGTCATGGCTTCTCAAAGTTCGGCCATCACATTTTCTATATTGATAGGCTTAATTTGTTTTACATTTGGCATTGAAGCATGTTCATACTAATTATGAATAAAAACAGTAACAGGTACATTGTTTTTCATTCATTTGCTGTAGGAGCATAGTTAATATTGCTTCATTGATGGACCAGATTACAAAACTATCGCTATATGGGTCAAATTCGAAACATTATGACTAACTTATGGGTTATTATAAACAGACGTTACATTTGCAAAATTATGATCAATATTATGACTGACAAGAGGATTAAATTCTAATGAAAATCATAAATACATGATAGAACAGGCACTGTAACATTTTCAACGACAGATATAGAATTTCCAGGAACATTTTTCACATTGACAGTCTCTGACAACAGTTACCGATTCACTTCAAGGGGCTTGGGTTGATTTAAATTCATCAAATCTTAAATTTAATTCTTAGCTAAGATTTTCAAACTAGTTTCAGCTTGTTCTTCTTCGTGTTGTACATCTACAAGTTTTTCTTCTTCTTGTAACAATTCTTTTTGTCTCTATATATGACGAAGTTTTCTATAGCTATCTCGTATTGTCTTTTCAAATTCTTCACAGAAAATTCAGCGTTTTTAAGTTTGATTTATACATCACAATGTCCGATAGGTTAAATTTAACAATACATCATGCAGTTATAAAATTTATTGACACATTGTCAGCAAAATTACCAAAATATCATAAAAATTTTTTTTTTAGCCTTTTCGTGAAATGAACAATTCACTAGCCACTTCATGAAATGACTAGGTTTTTCAGGCTTTTCGTTATAGGTGTTATGGAAGATACTCTCCTATAGAAGCACTGGCCTAGGTCACAGCTAGAGACTATGGATTTCAACATAAAAACTATTTCAATTCCAACAGAATATGTTTTACTGAAGATTATTCATAGATTATTACTTCTGGAGAGATTACAAGAAAAAATATATTCAACAAATTGCAAACTTAAAAACAGTGGATCTCGAATTATGCGACCATATCGCGTTTTTCACCACGTGTGTCAGATCGCCAAACCTTGGCGTTTGTTTTGAACATGTCCAAGATAAACGCCATGGCTCGGCGAATAGTGGCGACAATTACACGATGCCATGTTTATGGCGACCTTAACATGCTCTAAGCCAATTTTCCGTCGCAGTAGCAGCGCAGTAAGAACGCTTTTCCGATGTGACGGGGCCTTAATATAGCGTTTGATTCTATTTCTAGTTAACTAAAGATATTGGAAGTGGTGCTCCTGTATATTTAGAAGAAGTACAAGACACAGAAGGCAGTACTACTCTCTTGTTTTCTCTAACAGAAAAAGTTGGAGCTCTAGCCGAAGCTTTATCGATATTTGATGTGAGTGGTTGCTTAATCGATCTTAACCTCTAGTGTTAAGAATCATAGTCACATTCGAATGTCTGCGATATAACTTGAAAGATATGAATATTCAACAAAACGAAAACTAATTAGCCTATTTTGCTGTTATAGTGCTTTCGTTATAAGAGGTCGTCTGTCTTTGAAGAAATCATATTAGTTCAGGGCTGGGTTGAAAAGAATCACAACTATGTATAACATAGATTAAAACATTCATTTATTAAACGACTCTTTATCTTTGCATCCTTCTGGTTACAGACTCATCGAGTAAATCTACATCATATTGAGTCTCGACCATCAGTAGAAGATAGTGAAAATTATCAGTTCTTTGTCGCATGTGATAATCAGAGAGGTGGTCTGAAAGAAGCAATAGTTGCTTTGAAACAGAAATGTAAAGATTTGACCATTTTATCACGTAACCCTGGGGAACAGAAGAATGAAGGTACAAAACTGTTTTTATAAATGATTTGTAGTAGGCTACACTGAACGTGAACGAAAACTGTGTAACACAAAACTCGAAGCTCGAAGAATCAGACACAGGAACCCGTACATATGTTTTTGCTTTAAGTCCAAGTCCAAATCTTGGTTGAAGTTTATGTCATGTAGCCTACTTATTAAGTTTTCGGGGTCATTTTGAAGTTTTATTTTTTCTTCTCATTATTATTTTCATTTCAATCTAAGATTACAAATTGGGATTACGGGTAGTAATTCCATTATTCTGATTTGTTGACATATCCAGTCTTTGTCTTTTTTTACGAATATGACATAATTTCCGAACAAAATCGAGTTAATTCAACATGATTGATTTTTGCTTATACTGAAATCTTTCGCCAATCCATTTCCTTGAACCCCAATCTAATCATTTTCGGAAACGATGCAACCTTTGCCTAGAAGCTTGTTTTACCACTGCACTTTTGCCAATCTCTGTTGCCGTCGATATATTGAGCGCGTGAAATAAGGCTAGAAGGACTATTTATCATGTCGATAGTGGTCCATGAAAGTAAATATACTTTGTAATGTACATTTTCTTTCCAACTCAAGTAAAGAAGTCCAGAATTAATTTTTACAATGACATGTTTGCATTAGACTAAGGTCCTCAGAATACTTCTTAGCTTTCTTTTTTTGCACAAAAAAGATCAATTGTAGCTACCTTCTGTCTCCTAAAGATTGTTGATAAATGCGTGTAATTTAATGTCAGTCTTTACTCTAGTACCATGGTTTCCGAGGAAAATTGCTGATTTAGATAGATTTGCTAACCAAATATTGAGTTATGGTTCAGAACTGGATTCAGATCACCCTGTAAGTTTCTTCATATATTTTTTTGGAAGCATCAACTTAAAATACAAATAAACTCCTTATCACAAAAACAATCGTCAGGTAGGGGAAATATGTTTTTCAAAAGGGGAGAGAAAATCACCAAATCTTTTACACCATTTTTAATCACTTGCAGGGTTTTACAGATTCAGTTTACAGAGCAAGAAGAAAGGAGTTTGCTGATATTGCCTTTCATTATAAACAGTAAGTATTCTTTATTGCAAAAATACTGCTTCTTGCTAAATACGATACTCTGAGAAAAGAATATATCACTTCTACCATTTTTATGTTTACTAAGAACGCGGGAGTCTTATTAGCCATAAATACCGATTGCCTTTTACTTGATATAGTTCGTCATAAATTTATATATATTTTTCGACATTATGTAAGCGATGATTTTGCGATGCCGTTGCCTATAATAGAACGCTAAATCTTATTTTACTATTCTGATACCATATTATTAATTATTGGTGTCCGTATTATAAGGTGTGTCATATTTGTTGTTATGTACACTATATACACTATATTCTTTTTGTACAACTATTAATTGATGTCGTTGTGGGGTGTTCCCACTTTCCCGGCAGATTATCCGGATTAAATTTTCCTAATCCAGATTAGTTGGTTTATACGGATTAGTCGGATTAGGGCAGATAAAATTCTACTAATGAGCTGATAGTTTCATTTTATTAATTTTACAAGCCAACAAGATGGGAGGCGGCATCTCCATATTCCATCATTGTCTTGCTGTTATTCTGAAGACAGACTTTCAGGCGGTCAAGTTCATGCTCCAATTGGCGATACTGTCTCTTCTTGGGGCGTTTCTTACCACCAGACTGGAGCTGACTAATGGTCACTTCGGTCATTGCTTGCTCAGCTTTTATCAGGGTGATGAATCTGAAGATCTTCGGTCACATAGTCAGCAAACTTTGCAATTGAAGGATCTTCCATGTTAGCGGCTTCAAGGGCATTGAACCAGTATTCTTCGATATGTTCAGTTCTAAGTAGAGGTAGGGCAGATGCTCTCCTCACGAATAAGTTCACATCTTGGTTGTTTACAAAGGCACTTTGCAAACCACAATTTTGGAAATTGCGCCAAACTGCCTGTCGATAGTGAAAGAGTTCACAGTCAAAGTCTCGAAGTCAGTGAAAATGGTTCTTGGTCTAAGGTGCAGGTTGCGGATCCCAGCCTTCTGTTGGAGGATGATTTTGACATGTGAACTTGTATCACTAATATTCACTTTCACTTAAGTGAACATGGTTTATATCAGCTCATTAGTAGAATTTTATCTGCCCTAATCCGTTTAACCCAACTAATCCGAATTAGAAAAAATTAGAAAATCTGTCGGGAAAGTGGGAACAAACCGTCGTTGTGTCATATTTTGTTGTCTTAATGATATGTTGCCATTTTAGATGAGTATCTCTGTTCAACCAGTCGAAGCTAATGACTAGTATGGTAGCTCTTAATCATTTATATAAAAAATTCCTTCTTGCTTTTTTTGGTAACATAAGTGTACATGATAAGTTTGTTTACATTTTTCAGTGGACAACCTATTCCTCGAGTTGAATATACCCAAGATGAGATTAAAACATGGTCAGTATACATCTTTTCTCTTTTTATGACTGATTTGCAAAAATTTTATTACATGAGAGAAATTTTTTTCTTTTTGTACTTTGGGTGCTCTATATGGAACTTTCGTTTCAAAACCACCGGAAACCTAATTTTGTGATTTTACACCGAATATTCTTTCTACTATTTTTACATGCGACTTGATGTTGGATTACCTGAAGAACTTACTTATTGCATTATCACTTGATATGCACCACTGAAGAAGAACCTTACGCCTGGGGCAGTTTATGTGAACTTATTCTTTGATTGTGGAAGCTCTCACTTTTCATGTAGTATATACGTTATGCTTCCATCTTTATTACCACTTTCTTTACTTTTTACGAGTTTCCCTTTGAACTCGACATGGACTGAATTGCGTTGCAGGGGAACTATCTTCAATGAATTAACCAAACTATACCCTACGCGTGCCTGTCGTGAATATAATCATGTTTTCCCACTACTTGTTGATAACTGTGGTTTTAGAGAGGATAACATACCCCAACTAGAAGATATTTCAGAGTTTCTAAAAGGTAATAACAGTATTTATATCCTTGAACCATGATTCAGAAAAGGACTGCGGACGCGTTTTTTGTCGTTTGTTGGTTTATAATGGTCAAATTTGCATTAAAATTACTAAGTCTTATGACCCAAGCTTTTTGCACTCATCTTACATTCTACATGGTTCAGCAAATTTTATGTCCCTATAGAATGAATGAACAGTAATGGAGTACTTTGTACTAACCATACCTATTCATAAAAAAGCTGCAAAAGATATGTTACAAAATTACAGGCCTATTTCTATACTTCCTACTATTTCAAACATATTTGAAAAATCACTTATTTCCTCAACAAATCTCTGACTTCGCTCGCATATCAATTAGGATCTTTATTAGATATACCTTTATGTAGCGTCATCAACACGTTAATACCCTTTTCTACAGTTTTCGTTTCATTGGATTCATTGCCTTGTTGTATGTAAATATTGTGTATTATAGTTTTGTATGTGTGTAATTTATTTATTTTTGTATTTGTGTATTTCATAATTTTGTATGTGTGTGTTTTATCGTATTTGTACGAGTAGTTTAGGAGGATACCAGGGAAGATTTGCTTTAAACTGATTTTCCTGTCAAATAAAGTATTATTATTATTATTATTCCAGATTGTACAGGATTTTCATTGAGACCAGTAGCTGGACTGCTGTCATCTCGAGATTTCTTGGCTGGACTTGCATTTCGTGTATTTCATTCTACCCAATATATTCGTCATGGATCTAAACCAATGTATACACCAGAACCGTGAGTAATACTAACATTTCAATGTTCTAGAGTTGATTTGCAATACAAATGAAGCGGTCACAGAAATACCCTCAATAGATATGTAAACTTTTATCTAATGAATCCATTGACAATGATGAATAATTAAATGTTTATCTAAATGACATACAAACTATTTTTTTATTTTCAGTGATATTTGTCACGAATTGTTAGGACATGCCCCTTTATTGGCTGATCCAGCTTTCGCTCAATTTTCTCAAGAAATCGGTTTGGCTAGTCTTGGGGCTCCGGAGGACTATATTCAAAACCTGGCTACTGTAAGTTCACATCTAAAATATAACATTGAAAAAGTCGTCATCGCTACTTCATTTTGCACTTCACAAAACTTATAGCAGCACATCAATGAGTGTTATACAAGAAGAAATGATATATTTTTTACCACGATGTTATTAGCTTCGCCCATTATTCCCCAGATACAATAATTATTACTCTCTAATGCCTGGTAGTCATGGATCCTAAATTATCTATATCAACTTTGCTCAATTTAATATTAGATTAGATACCAACCCTACATAAATCTATCTTGCTTTTTCAGCTATTCTGGTTTACTGTTGAATTTGGTCTCTGTCGACAAGAAGGACAACTGAAAGCTTATGGAGCTGGTCTCTTATCGTCTTTTGGAGAACTTCAGGTTAGGTATGTTTATAATAATGCTGTTGTTATCCTTACATTTATATAATGGGGATAAACAGTTAAATATTTTGATGCTTTTACGATCCATTCAGTTCGAATTTCAGATTTCATTTTAAAAGCACAATTCGACAGCAAAGAAGATATATTGATCAAAATAAATAAATAATTCATTTTTTCTTGATGTTTTTTAGTACTGTATCTCTGATAAACCTGAGAAAAGGGAATTTGATCCAACAATTACAGCTGAACAGAAATATCCAGTAACTGAATACCAACCAGTGTACTTTGTTGCTGACAGCTTTGAATCAGCTAAAGTAAAATTAAGGTGAGAGAAATATCTCAATTATTAAGATAGCTTGCCAGGCAAGGTAATATACGCCCACTGGCAGCTTTGATTTTGAATAAAAATATTTAGCAGTACAGTAACAATCATCAGTATGAAATATTCAACCTTCAGTCATACACGTCTTTTGAACTCTTGAGGTTGATACTGAATAATATTGAGTATGAGTTATTGCCCATTTTCTTGAAAACGTGTTCAATTTTTAGCTCGTGAAAACTCTAGAAGGCGAATATTCAATCTTCGGTACTGAATAATACAAGTTTGAAAGCGTTTTAAAGAACGAGGTCAATAACTCCTATGAAACATATTTCGATTTTTTTTTATTTCGATAGGGTTCATCCATGGGTGATAATAAACAATTTCACCAAGTTTCATCAAAATCTGTCAATAATTGAGACTTCTAGAATGTTTACAAGCTAGAAATTGAACGATATTCAAGAACAATAACTCATACCAAATATTTTTTTTGATTTTCTGATTTTCAATAGGGTTCATCCTTGGATGATAACAAACACTCATGCAAAGTTTCGTCAAAATCCATCAAGAATTGTGTCTTCTAGAGTGTTTACGAGCTTAAAAATTGAACGCGTTTTCACGAACAAGGGCAATAACTTATAATAAATATTTTTCGATTCGTCTGATTTTCAATAGTGTTCATGAATCCTTGGGTGATTACGAACACTCACACCTGGTTTTGTCAAAATCCGTCAAGAATTGTGTCTTGTAGAGTGTTTACGAGCAATTGTGGACGGACGGACCGACGGACATGGGTGACGGCAATATACAATATTTCATGTGGGCGTATAAAAATTGTTAATTATAAGGAGATATATCACAATTTATAGGGAAAGAGTTTAATCTTACCTCTAAAATACGACTTCTAGATTTTGCTTCATTATAAGCTTACAGCAGCTGATAAAGGACGAGTGAATTGTATTCTTCACATAGTCAATAGCTGACAAATTTTCCTGATTTTATCATGCTTTGGTTTGACTGAAATTTTTCTTCAAATAATTCAGAAATTATGCATGTACCATTCCAAGAGCATTTAGTGTACGTTATAACCCATATACACAGAATGTTGATGTCATCAATAATAAACAACAAATTGTCAACCTTACCAAAGTAATCAAGGGTACGTTTACCTTTTTGTTTGAGTCTTGTCTTTTAAATAGTTGCTGATACAGCTGATATAGCGCTCCAGTTATCTGTATCAAGTATAAATCAAATAAAAAGTACGGGTACAACTGACGAAACTGAGATTTTAGTTAAGTGGTTATGACATTTTTCCGGAAATATCTACACTAGAGAATGTTAATAATGATCTAGAAACTTAAACTATCGTCACTTTCACTGGTAGATTATCGATATGAAATGTTCGTCTGAAAAGGCATATATATATCTGAAATTGAGCTCATCTTCTTGTAAACTGTTTAACGACGGTTGATATCTTGGATGAGATAGAATTTGGAAAAGTTCTTCCAACGAAATTCTCAAATTTGTTTGATTTTAGGTGATATAGACTTGTTGGAGGAAGCTCTTGTGAAGTGTAGAAATATTCCTGCACATTAAAGTTCACAATATTAACTGGTTTGGGGGTTTTAAATGTTATTATTTGGTATTTTATTATTACCTATTTTATTTTTTTATTTAAAAAATTGGTTCCATTGAAATTTATCATTCTTCAATAGTTCTATCGTTTTAGTTAAAGCTTTTTATCTTGCTGAATATTATAACCTATCGTCAACTTATTCTAAAAAATTTGAAATAAAAATTTGATAAAAATGTATTTTATTTATACTATTTCTGCAAATCATCAACCAATCAAGTCAGCAGCAAAAATTCATTTTATATATCATAATATGCATGATTCTAGTTCAATGTAAATATTTTGTAAGCAGTGGTGACTCCAGCCAAATGCAGAAGCACTCTATGGATTTTCTGAGGTGTTTTGAAATTTCTTAGAAATGAAGCGGGGGTAATAAATGCACCTTCCTTGTTCCCCATTGGCACCGCTTCTGTCAGCAAGGTTTGTAGTTTGTGATAGTCGGTTGATTTTGACTCTGACCTCTAACAAGCTTTTTGACCGCTGTTGGAATATGAAATCTGAAAGAATAAGTGCAATGTTTTTATATTCGGATGAACATAATTATATTGAGCCTCATATTGTGTTGAAACATGGATCCTAAATTACACACTTTTGGGGTGCCTCGTCTGCTCGTCAATTATCTATAAGAGTTCAGGTATGACTGTGAGTCATCAAGTATTGACTTAGTACTGTATTGGGCATGGGAAATAAAATAAAATAAGATATAGAATAAATTTTATATAGAAGTTTGTACCCCATGAAACGATAGTCAATGGACCACTGGCAGCAATAATCATATTTGCACGATATTTTTGCATTCCACTATTTCCTTGTATTAATAAACAATCGACACCAAAATGAAGTACGTTGTTGCCCAACAATAATCTACAATCATCGAGATGTGAATTTCGTCTTTATATAGGTTCATTATTAAATGATTTTAAAATGCTTGCAGAACACAGTAACTTATTGAAGCATTGACCTTTGGAAGAGTTCGTTTTATATTGTTTAATGCAGACGAGCGTATTTGTTCGTCCAATCGATTAAGATAGCTTGATTTTAAATAAAAATATTTAGCAGTACAGAAACAATTCATAGTATTAAATATTCAACCTTCAAACATACACTTCTTTTGAACTTTTTGAGGCGATACTGGATAATATTACCAAGTTTCATCAAAATCTGTCAAGACTTGGGCCTTCTAGGGTGTTTACAGACTAAAACTTGAACGCGTTTTTAAGAACAGCGGCAAAATTTTTTTCGATTTTTTTTATTTTGATTAGGGTTCATCTTTGGGTGATTACATACACTCACAATTTCGTCAAATTCAATCAAGAGTTGTGACTTCTAGAGCGTTTACGAGCTAAAAATTGAAAGCGTTTTCAAGAACAAGGACAATAACTCATATTATATATTTTTCGATTATTCTGATTTTCAATAGAGTTCATCCATGGGTGATTACTAACACTCATACCAAGTTCCATCTAAATCCGTAAAGATTTGTGCCTTCTGGAGTGTTTACTAGCTTAAACTTAAACGCGTTTTAAAGAACAAGGGCAATAACTTATACTAAATATTTTTCAATTTTTCTGATCATCCGTGGGTGATTACAATACAAACAAAGAAGACCCCCCTCCACCTTTTATTGGATTCGGTTCATTTCCCTGTGGAGGTCCTACTTGTCGCACATGCGAACACATACATGTTACCCATTTTTTCAAAAATAACAAGAACGGAAAATTGTTTGCGATGAATAACCTAATTTCTTGCGGAGATCAAAATATCATATACCTAATTTCTTGTAAAAAATGCGATGTACAATATGTTGGCGAGACTCAAAATGCGCTTCGAACGCGATTCAATGGCCATCGCTATGATATAGTGCATGGCAAGGATAGACCAATTGCGAATCACTTCAACCTTCCCGATCATTCCATTGATGACCTTCTCATCATGCCTATAGAAACCGTTTCTACATCACCTAGTATGAAACCTAAGCTTAGACGTCTACAACGCGAAAGTTATTGGATCGATCAACTGCAGACTGTGAGGCCAAATGGACTCAACATTCAACATGATAACCAGATAATACCCTTTATAACGACATTTGATTCTACAGCTACCAAAGCCTCCATAATAGTCAAACGCCATTACTCGGAACTTCAGAACAAATTTCCCCATGTATACACAAAACGTTTGGTTGTAGCTTACAAAAGAAATCAAAATCTTAGCAATTTCCTCTTTCACGGTAGACTTGAACCATTGAACAATGTCCATTCATCCTAGGAGCATAGATTTGTTAATATAAATGTATCATGTTCTATCAATAAATTAATCTATTTCTGAGTTAGATTTCAGGGAATACTTATTTCAGGACTGGTGCCATGGCTATATACAGTATATTATATAACATGCAGTGTATTTTTGTGTTTGTGTCTTTTCAACTAAAATCATACTATTGACTAACTAATTTTCGCATAATCAATAGACTTATCTATTGCTCTGTGACCTAGGCCAGTGCTTTCATTGCGACTCGTCTCAATACACCCTAACACCAAGTTTTGTGTCTATTTCTTTTATCGGCCGAATTTCTTCGTCGTTCATGTCATGTGATCAGTACATAATGGCAGACGGCCGAAGAAAGGTTTTTGTCGCTTCTGTCAGTGCTATCTATTTATTTCTCGGAAAGAAAAACGCAGATGAAATCGGAACTCATAGTCCAAAAGTTGGATAATTCTTTATATACATTGAGTCAGCATTAATGACATTTTAAATTACCACAAAATGACTAGGTAGGTCTAGGCCTACCGATACTTACAAGCCATTGCAAGCCTCTGGGCTCAAACCCACTTACAAACCAGTGACGCAAGGCCTAATCCCGCCAACATACGTTCACAGTTCATAATGCTGTGAATTACGACGAAATAAACGAGAAAAAGACACGAGACAACAAACAAAAGTTTTATTATAAATAGCTACAATATCGGTGAACATATCTATACAAATTACATAACATAACACCTAAAACCTGAACAATTTTAATGAGCAGATAGATCAGAGTTCTTAAAACTCACGTCAAAAAATACAAACTATGTGCCAAAGAATCCATGGTACAGGACGAACGATATATGAGCTAACATACTAGAGCTTTTATACCCTACGATCTTGCACACTGCACGTGGAAAACCGACATTGGCTGTCATTGGATAATAATTCATAACTACTACGAATGGAGGATCTGGCACGCTAAAATACCATGCGCAGTTTAAATCAAGTGCGACTAAACATTCTAGAAGGCATCATATTTCCGGTAAACAAACACAACCGGAATCACGCTGTCTAAAAATAGACAGCCTATAAATATCAATAAACGTACAGCATGCGGACCCAGTAATTAATTTTATTCTAATGATTGTATCTGTGCTATTTTTAGATATCCTCTTTCTCCCTTCTTTTTAGGGGTTCCGTATGCCTATTTTAGATTAATTTTTGGTCTAGATTTGGAATTTGATGCATTTTCTTTCAAATTTTGTGAGATGATGAGAGATTTTCATGCGGAAGGATAATTCTAAAAATAGTCGTTTTGTGTGCATTGACAGTCAAGCCAATGTTGGTAAAATGTAGTGGTCTACTTTCAGTTTAGCAAGTTCAAGATTTTCATGATATATTGAATTTTTGGAAAGTGGAAAGTTTTCAACTAGATTTCTGGAAAATAATTATAGAAGGTTGAATTTTGAGATTTTACATGGAAACAGATGTCAAATGAATTACCGGAGTGTGCCCATGCAGCAGACGAGAGGAACTAGCTTCAAGAGGGGTGGGTGCTGAGCTGTTTCTCTCGTGTGCGCTGAATTTTTATTGACATTTCTGTCTCGAGAGGGAGGAAAATATCTATCCTATATTTTCTGCTTGAAGGCCAGAAATGTGAGGACCGACGCCGTGTGCCAGCTAAGCTAGAAAAAGTAGTTAACCAATAGAAACGTATTGACGGACCTCGTGGTATCAACATGAATTGTGAAAGATCAACTAGCTGAACATGCCAAGACTAACAGTTGCTTCACACTGTTAATTCTGAAGGGCAATGAGGTCATTTTGATCAGTTGGTGCAGTCCAAACCTTTTCGTTGACGTACGGAATTGGTAGAAAATTTTCTTTTGAGACAATAGCTCCGACGAGACTTAAGGGACATATCCAAGTAAATCTTCTACAAAAGAAATTTTGAGGGTTTGACTAATCACTCAATAGAATATGAAAATCTAATGAGATTAAAATTATGCAATTTGGTTTATTCACAATAAAGTAAAAAAAAAAAAGAATTTTCCCGACATAGTATCACAATGTCTTAAATGTGTACTTTATTTAAAATTAACCTTAAGTTGCAAAATAAATATTTTTTTTCATCATTGAGTCACTAGTCAAACCCTTTAAATGTGTTACAATCGATACCCATGAAAATAAAATGGACTGGATGTTTTTATGTTTTGACGGTATCTGGATGAGCAAAAATATCAGCTGTGTTTGATTATACAACTGCAGACGTGATATAAACAGAGGCAGATGTTTCGGACTAGATTGCAACAAACGATTTTGCATTAGCTAGAGTTTAAACATAATGTCCTCATATCAAGTAATCATCAAATACAATAGAAAAAAATACATACCACAGTTTGTACTCCTCATAATATGCATTCTTCTACGTAGCTCAGGTAATACACGATTGATAAATTTATACTCCATGAACTGGTTTTAGACGCCATCAACCTTTGTACTAAAGTGCAAGTAAAAAGCTATTAGGTTTAGAATACTTCACAGGTAAAAATCTATGTTTTTACCCTTCAAAATAATATAGAGGAATCAATGTTACCCAATTTATCTCTAGGCTACACAAAGAATCATTTGGAAAGCAAAAAATTGAAATCTATGGTGCGTCTTGTCACTCTCGTGTAGCCCAAATAGTAGTGGTGGAAAGGGACGAAGTATCTTAATTTTTGCTTTTTGCCTAGGATTCCTCTCTTTAACAAGAGATGTTTTATGTTTATGTTTTTCAATGTTTTATAATACTATAAATTAAAATGGAAGTGGCTTCAATCATATTATCTAATAATTCTCTAATCGTCTATTTTTTGCATCAGAGGATCATTCTGTGAGTGCCAACTCCATTTATTCTAAAAAAAATATGATTCGTTTTCTTTTGTGAATTTTGTTGGCCACTTTGACACATTTCCCAGCAATCTTAAGCGCAATAAAACTATTCTGTCATTAATTCAGATAATAAGTGCTGTTAACTAGTCATCATGATCTATCTGATGATATTTTTAACCTGTTTACCAATATTGGCTCTCTACCTCCTGATACCAGAGAGATCACCTATACATGGTGTTTACAGACAGAAAGGACGGTGGTATTATCTGAAATACTGGATATTTAGAATGATTTTCTGGTTACGATCTTACCAGAATAAGAGATTAACAAAGAGCACCAAGAATAATAATGCTGGGTATGGGTTAAGATCAAGGGTATCACCAGGGGAAATGGACAAAGTTCAGACCTTGAATCATGACCATCCACTGGTAAGCAAAACAAATGAGCAATTGCATCAAAATATCCAGATTCCAATAACAAGAACAAGAACAATACGAATGTTAAACAAATTTGTCTTTGATGGTTGAACAAATTTCGGTAATGTGTTTCGGACCAGAATACGACCATGTTCCTCCCTTTTGTTAAAGAATAAACACTCGATCCGTTTTTGTCTACAAGTATATAATGGCACTTAAGCGAATAAATTTCAGTTATTGAAGGCCAGGTTACATGTATAAGTAAATTTGGTTTCTCTTTAATTGGTGTTCTAGGCTGTTGATGCTGTATATTTTAATGGTGGAAGTAAAGATGGTGTTTATATGGTTTTAGCTACAGCAAGAAGACACAACAATTTAACACAGACTATTCTTATACTAAGGGTATTACAATTAAATATTGGTACTTTTAGCTGACACACCAGTTTCATACTCGCTATGGACGGGGAGATCACCAATTATAAAATTTAATCGAACATTGATATATATTACTATTTCATAATTCATAATATATTCAAATTAAAGACACAATTAACACAAACCAACAAACGTACATCACACTCCATTTATATTATATTCATCTATAATTATTTAAGCTACCAGGAATTGGGTTATTAGAAATGCCAACACAGCCAGACACTAACCTAGTAGGAAAGTCAAAACATTTTTCAGCAGGTGGGCTAACACTGAAACCTGTTGAACCAATGAAGAAATGGAAATTATCATTTAATGGTCAACTAAGGTATGTGGGCTCGTTACAGAGATTCTAGCATTTATATTGATGTTTTCGATTTGTACACAGCTATTTGTCAACAGTTTTTCATCGGAGCTCTAAAGTATTATTCTCTCCTTATGGTATAAATATCTCTTAATCCATAGGTTATGGTATTCAGTCGTCATTCCTTCTTCCTAACCATTCTTTATACGTAATTGTATCCTTTTTTTTTATTCATATGTTCTTTGGTTCTTTGATTTTTGTCAGTGAATCCCAAGTTGGGTGTTTTTTTCTAATTTAGGGTGGAAGAAACTAACAAATATTTAACAGTTTCATTTGAATTAGAGTGGAATTGTTTAACACCATACTTTGATTTTGATACTGATCTGAACCCGAATGTTATGTCTGATGCTATAGCAAGAGAAAAGTGGTCTCGGGAGTATTTTAACACTCTTCAAAAGTGAGTAATCAGTTCATTTTTAAAATCAGACACAAACACACACATGAGATCAAGCAATTCCTTTATAACCATGTTACTTTTGAATATAAATACCATCATTCTTCAATAATTTATGGGTATAAAGTTTTAAATGATTATTTTCAGAGCACACCAAACACATTATGAGCAATTTGGTGAAATAAAAGGTAATATTGGTATAGAGGGATACCATACTTATCATATTGAGATTCAGGGTGTTCGAGATCATTCTTATGGTTAGTAATTAATGCAAATATTCAAGCAAAATCATTATCAGAAACTTCTGTATGTGTTTGTATTATCGCAATGGAAAATGTGCTAAACAGCGACCGAAAACAAACAACTTCCATTTAGAACTTTTTATGAGATAAAACAAAACCCCATTCGTTTCCCTGTAAATGGACTGTTCATTGTAAAGTTTGACATTGTTGATTATTTTGCTTTTCCATAGTAAATTGTAATGGTTTTAGGTAATATTCGTGATTGGAAACACATTCATAGATATGGTATACAGTATATGTATTTTGTTGATGGAACATCAGCGTGTATTGGGGTAATTTGTATGCCATCAACTATGTCGAGGTATATTGTTTTTAAGAATGTTATGTAATGTGTAAGACACATGCTAACGCTAGGTTTGTTTTCATTTGCCTTCGTTATAAAAAAATATATCAGCTAAAGTCTTCATATCCACAATATTGTCAAGCTCTATCATCTATTTCGTGTAGCTAAAATGTTGTTCAAGCTATGTAATATTATCATCTTCTGTTTTTATCTCTAAATCATTTCAAAGCAAGCAACAATTGATATAATTATTTTTCACACTTCCTTATTATTCTTCATGCTAGGTTAGTTATAGGTTACGTGTTTAAACCTAATGGTAGCATGGAAACCGTATCTAGTACTGATTTTGAACTGTATAATTTTGGTGATGATGGTAATCCCCCGGTGCAGCTGAGCTTCAATTTTACCACAGGTATTATTTGATCCTAATTTTGTTATAAATCAGCTCAAGGTGTTTTCGTTATAGTCTAGGGTAGAGCCACTGGACCGCATATACAAGTATTTGAACTTTCAACTTTTGCATTCTTTTAATCTACTTCAGTTGAGCGTAACAATAGTATGCAAGCCACGTATTCTTAGCGCTAGGATGTCCTAGGTTCTTATCTTCCAACATTGATTCTTGGACATCCTAGCGCTAAGATCGTTTGGAGAATACATGGCCAGGAACCACACTCATTTCATATTGATTGCATTACGTTATTTGCATGATTGTGATAATTTGACAGGTACCACGGAATATAAACTAGATATAGAGGTAATAGAATGTCCTGTATTTTACATGGGTGAAAATTGGGATGCTAAAATATATGAACGATTTTGTAAATTTCAATTAAATGGTGTAGTTGGATGGGGTATCAGTGAATGGGATTATAGGTAAGTAACTATGGTCACTAACACTTCCTATATGGCATCTGTCATTCTGCAACATCTAAAAATGATCAAAGATTTTCCCGACCTTGTCTTGTTTGTTTTATGGATATTGAAAGTATCTTTTTGGTGATTAAGAAACTTGGTAATATTTAATATTAAAGCAGGCATTGTTCATTTTATCCACGTGTGCTTTTATGAAAAAGAACCACTAGTGTATAAAAGAGGTTCCTAATGTCACAATACACCTCAAATATTTGTGAGCTTGAATAGAGGTTATGACGTATGAGCTAGCTTTTGATCTAAATTAACTCTTTAATTTCAGGAACGAAGGTGGAAAAGCAGTTGATTCCATATAAAACTTTTTTTTAGATTTATATTTAATATATATTTACAATTTACATACAATTTATACATGTTATGTTGGAAAAATTATTTTCACAAAACGATTTTATAAATTGTTCATGGTTTAAGAAAGCTCAGTGGCCATAACGATTAATCATGCGAAAAATGTTTCACAATAACCACCTTACCAAAGGCGTTGCTACAGTATGGGTATGTAAAAACATTACTTTCTTTCGAAGCGTGAAAGATGACGTGCCAGGTACAAAAGTGGCAAGGTATAATGTGAGAATCGCTAATTGGATGCGCTGTAGTTGACAATAAGTATGTATATATTATCAGTTTTAGATTTAGATAAATAAGGAAGGATCAAGAACAAAATTTTATTTTGACAACACGCAAATTTAAAATCCATTTTGATAGATTTTTTCAAAGGTCTAGATAACTCAAACTACATGTGACATAAACTTGACTTAAAATTCTCAAACTTGGCCAATAAGGGTAGATAGGGCCTACTAGTCTTATGACCTACTCAATGTAATAACTACATATCATAATCTCTCTATAATTCCATAAATCCATTAAACTAAGTAATTATCCTTACGTAATTATGAATATTTTTTCAATAATTACTTTGTCTTATGGATAAAGTGGATTGTACAGAGAATTTGTTGTATGTTTTTACACAAGGTATGTTAACGATGAATATAAAACCCTTCTTCGCAAAGTTTCAAAAGTAAAATTGAACGTGCATTCATATAGGTAATGATACCACCCATTAGTTCTCTTTCGGAAAGCTACTTTAAGGTATGTTGATCTTGAAGTGTAGCTTTAGTGAAAAAACATTCCTTCAAGCAATAAACTGAAAAGTAAAAGAAATAAAGTTTGAAAACAATATCTGAAAGGATTAGAAACGTATCACCAATAGGACATGGTCATATCAGGTTGAACAATTGACTTATCAATTTACATGTGGAGATCTAACATTACACAGTATCTGACTGACATAATGTTGATAGATGAGATTATTTGAACGTTTCTACACCAACTATCACCTCTTTTATATAATATATTGTCTGTTAATACACTATTCTCTAAACAAATGACTAACTATGAAGAGGTCTAATCTACGTACTATATTTAGAAACTTTTTTACAAACACTTACTTCATATCATAAGTGCCATTTTATTATACTCACATGTTTTACTCTCTTCCTGAGCAATTTTCATAAAGCAATTTTTTTTAACAAGTCCAGAACAAACAGGTGTGCCTTGGTGAATACTTACAATAGCAAATAATATTTACACTGCACGTAGAAATTCAGTTAACTTATAATCACAACATGGATATTGATAATACTAGATAGGATATAATAAGTTATATTAGAAAATTACCATGTAAATTAATTGGATTATAATGAGACTAATACAGGTAAGATGGGTAGGATTTTTTTAAAAACATGTCTTGCAGGGAAAAGAATTTTACTCGACTATAAAAGTGCTTATCAAGGCAATGCCCTACAAAATATGCAGCACTAGAACGGAACACATTAACATAAACAAATTCATCCGAGACCACATCAATCTCTGAAGTATGGAAGCAGATTTTGCTTTAAAACAGCCCGGCAATATCGCCATTCATTGAAACATCAGAAATTCCATCAATTCCAATTAGTATGAAAAACCAAAGAGACAGATTCGTAATTTTCGGCGATTGATTTGGATCTTGAATATATTTAATATTGTTCATAGGTTTTAGACAAGTACGCAAATCGCAAAATTCCTCACAAATATCTCAAACAAGGAATTTCACTATCTATTTCTATGTACTTTCTATAACAGAGTCTCAAGAAAAGGATGAGGATAATTCTGGACACACATAGATTTATAAGGACAATTATTACAGAATAACTTAGCTGAGACTAAGGTACAATAAGTCAAAAAAATAAAAAATGACGAAACTGTCCCTTTAAACTTCTAACAATGAAGGTGCTTTAGCAATGCTTGTCTCAAATCGTTCACCGAAACATCGTCAAATTCAATCTCTTTAAAGAGAAGCTGACATGGATCTCAATATCGCTATTATTTTTTATTATTATGTCTTACCAAAGTCGGATTAAAACGCTGACATTCAATATAAACGGATTATAGACCGGTCGACGAATGTAAGCTTACTGGGTCGATGGCAATAATTAGGCCTACGTGAATGCCATATAGATAACTGTTCATATTTCAACTTAGTTACGGGGTAGGTCACTATCATGCTTCCCCAAAACTTAATACCACAGTTAATATAATATCAAAAAGTGTGGAATACGTTATTTTATTGAATATAGGAATTTGACTACATAGATTGGGTTTTAGTGTAAATGTATAGTTTATATAGGCTATTATACCACTGTGAACCTTGTATAAATTCTTAATTATGTGGATTATTTTGATCATTCCTATTAATAAGTAAGCTTTACAGATAATATCGTAAACAGATCGTTACAAATAAAAATTTCCTTAAACAAGGGGGGATAATATTATAAAGTTAAATTATTAATTGCGGACTCAGACCCCTAAAACTTTTTATGTAAATGATTGTATTTGTAGTCCGTGTTATTTTTAGAATGTAGTCCGTTTAGAAATTCTCTTTCTCCCTCCCTTTTGGATATTTTGTATGGCTATTTTTGACTTAATTTTGGTCTAGATTTGGAATTTGATGTCTGAAATTGCATTTTCTTTCAGATTTTGTGAAAACAGTGCATTAACAGTCAAGCCGATGTTGGAAAAATTTAGTGGTCTACTTTCAGTTTGGCTAGCACAAGATTTTCATGGTCATGATGTAATATTGAATTTTTGTCTAGAAACTAAGTATTAGTCAGGCTTTCATGTGACATATTGAAAAGTTTTCTGAGATTTCTGGTAAAAGTTATAGAAGGTTGAATTTCGTGATTTAACATGGAAAATATGGCAAATGAATTACCGGCCTGAGTCCTTGATTTACATCAAGGGAGGCTACGCTCGGTCAAATTTCATGCAATCAAAAAAATGATGTACAAGTCGATACGCTAAAAAATATTTCACACTTAAAGGAAATAACTGTGCCAACTAATTTCTGATTCGAAAGTAGGTCAACCGGAAAATGTGTCCGACAGAACTGTAACTGATAGTCATCTGATATGATGGAATATAGTACTTCATTGTCATAAAGTTATTTTAGTTACAACTTTCAATTTGGTGGACATAAAACACTGTTAAAAAGTAAATAATTTACATCCTGCTAAAAGATTGCATATGAAAACACCATCCCTTTGTTGCTTAAAATAGCCGAATTAGGTTATATGAGGTGTTCCTTACCTGCAAATGTAAAAGCGTCGAGAGCTAACACGAACTCTTCCAACTGGAAGATATGATAGGTTGATAAACTCCAGTAACAATGGGAGAGGAGACAAGGATCTTCAAAAAGGGGACAAAACTCGTGTATCTCTACCATATAGAATTATTTCTAAGAAGTGACGCAGTGTGTTACTTCTATCATTACATTATTTATGTCCTGATGACATTCTGGTGAAGACAAACCCAGCAGCTTATTCGAACATGGTCAGTAAATCATCTAAGACAAAGATGATTTTCATTCACCATACTCCAGCATGTTTTTAACATTATTATTTTCGTTTTCTTAAAAACAAATTATTGGCAAATACCCATGCCACTCATCATCTCATCAAAATTGAAGGTCCTTATCGAAGAGTTTTCTGGTTGACATCACGTTATTTTTGCCAAATGAAATCACTTTCTTTGAGAAGTTTGCTCGGAAACAAATAGATATTTCGTTAATTTAAAACTCTAACAATATTTAAATATTCTAACACAAGTTGTTTCCCCTGAGATATTCTTTGGATTCTAGTACAAGCTTGCCCAGAATAGGCGCTCACAATAACTCGTCTTAAGGAAAATAGGGGTCGAGCTTTCATATTTAAGTGTTTGGACTTTGCCTCTCACTTGTGCTACTACGTTGAAGTATGTTCTGAACACCTCGCCTCACTAGTGAGTTTCAACTTTCTAAAGTAGTGAGACTACTATTTCAATAAAAGATTTTGACTTTACCTAGTAAAATGAAACAAAAATCTTTCTGTTGAATGATGGCTTGAACGCTATTTGCGACATTGCCTGATCAAGTTTGTCCAGAAATACATTCCTTTTCTGTCGGTTACTCCACTAAATATCTATCTCGTTGTTCTGGGTAATTCTGGAATATTCATTGATTAACATTGAAAACCTATTTTAAACTGCTTTATATCGGTTATAGCATAGATTCTAATATATCATACTGGTTTCGGGTTACAATATTTTCATAGACATAGTAATTCACAACTAAACACAAAATGAAACGCTTATTATTTAAATTCATATTGATACTTATTATCGATGCGAGCAATTACGAAAATTTCCATTTTTTCTCAAAAGCAAACCTTGCCAAGGTTATGTGGTCCTATATTTTCTAGGTTGCAATGTCAGATAATATCTGGATCAAGAAAGTTTGTCCAAAAAATTTCGACATCTTTTCTTACTATCACCTTAGAGTAGATTTTTACGGTGGATTCAGATTACCGTGAAATATAATCAGCTGATAAGATAGTCGCAAGATATATAAAATACCATTTAATATAACATTTTTAT